ATATATATATATATATATATATATATATATATTAGGGCTGTCAGTTTAACACCTTAATCTAATTAAATGGTTAGTTCTCAAAAAAAATGAAAATTCTGTCATTAATTACTCACCCTCATGTCGTTCCAAACCCGTAAGACCACCGTTCATCTTCGGAACACAAATTAAGATATTTTTGATGGATTCTGACAGCTTTCTGACCCTCCCATAGACAGCAAGGGTCCTTACACGATCAACGTCCAGAAACGTAGCAAGGAGACCTGTACTTCAGTGGATACTCTCCAAAATGGCGCTAGGGTGACGCGGAGGAGAAGAATTGTTGAATAAAGTAGGTTTTTTTTCTTTTGTGCACAAAAAGTATTCTCGTAGCTTCGTAAAATTACAGTTGAACCCCTGATGTCACATGAATGATTTTACCGATCTCCTTGCTACGTTTCTGGACGTTGATCGTGTAAGGACCCTTGCCGTCTAAGGGAGGGTCAGAGAGCTCTCAGAATCCATCAAAAATATCTTAATTTGTGTTCCGAAGATGAACGGAGGTTTTATGGGTTTGGAACGACATGAGGGTAAGTAATCAATGACATTTTTGGGTGAACTATCCCTTTAATTACTTATGATTTTTTTTTCAATGTTCCAAACCATTCCATAGAACCTATGTTTGAAGTTTCCAGGTCTAACAATAAACTTGCAGTAGGTGTCAGTGAGCTTGCAAATTCTCATCCCCATGTCATATAGCTCCTGGACCAGGACAAAGAGGCTGCGGGGCACTTAACAGACATTTTACAGCAATTAGAGAGCCTTTGTGTCGTAATTATACTCCATTTAAACCCTTAGGCTGAGCTGGAGGTGCCTAGGGGCAGCAAGGTATGCAAGAGAGCAGCCACTCTTCCCATTAGTCTCTTACACACTGTTAGACAGATAGTGGATGAGCAGTCCGGATGGTCTTGGGAAAAAAAATCATGTTTAAGTGAAACTCTGAAGAATGTTATATGTTAGCGTTTTCAAAGGACGAAAAAAAAGGTATCATCAGTCAGTCTTTCTGTTTCGCTGCACAATAAATCATTTGTTAGTCACATGATCTTGCATAATATTATCATGTACAGTAAAACATCCTCTCATCACATCTTTCTTTCTCTATTCTTTCTGCTTTAACCCTCTGGACACAATTTCTCAGCCGTGCAGTCTCTCTTCCTCCCACGTCGCAGGAATGGCTCACATTAGCCTTGTGGTCTCTGACGAGGGATACCACACCCGCATCAGGGGCTGCTCTGTGTGGGAGTGGGGATAGAGAGGGCACGGTGGGCAGGAACCTGTTTATGCTCCCAGAACGACGGACCTTTCTCTTCTCTTTCTTGGACTTTATCACTCTCTCTCTCCCCCCTCAGCGGTGTCTCCCACCCACTCGGTCACACTGTGAATGGGTACTGAACCCATCTAAATGCTAATGCGAACCGCTTTTTGCTATACCAAGCCAGAACAATGCAAAGTGAGCTAAATACACAGACATTATGACAGTAGATGGTAAGCATCTGATAGCAGGAAACAGGCCTCTATGGACATCGAGCATAAAACTTGATTAGAAGGGGTGACACATGCTTACTTGTAAATGTGGAATGGTGTAATAACAGAGGCTGGCGAGTTCAAGATGTTTGCATATGCTGATCAAAACGATCTAAGAGCCTGTGGGTATGACTAAAAGATGATGGGACTAAAGTGAATTTATTTTCAAAAAACACAGTTGATGCTTCACTGTTACTCATCTTTCCAAGTCTTTCCAAATCTCCAGGCTTTCCATAAACCCCCCTTCTGGTTCCTTGGATATTCTAATGGAGTGAAAATGTTATTTTTGAGCCTCCACAACAGCTGAGGGAAAGTTCCACTTCAGACACTGTGATCACCGCAACCATAACGTTGGCCTAACGCTGACACAATGCTAGACTGACTGGAAATTTAAATGTGTAAATAATCTATAAATATCTGTAATACTCATGCATGCATGCAAGCAAAAAAAAAAAAAGGCTGAACACTGTTTTCCAACCTCCAATTTTCTTGGTGGTGGTCTGCGCCAAAAGTTCCGATGGAATTGCCTCTCACGAATGGCGGGTACAGGAAAGACTCTGCAGCGAGGAGAGGGGAACGGGTGTTGTGGGTCATATTTTTGGTTGGCATTTGTTTAGAATTATTTTTTTGTTTTTGTTTTTTGTAGTAATCAATTTATAGTTCTCACAAGTGCTTTTTTTCCGATGTGTAATTTTCATTGAACCTCTAGAGAAACTGAAAGTTTTATTTTAGTTTGGGGTTGTTGTGTGTTTGCTTACACATGTTTGATAGTGCTTAGCAACACGATTATGTCATCGGCATAGTCGGGTTAGACAGAAATTGAGAAATATTTCAGCAGATGCAGCTGACAACACCTCTGTCCTGCCAGCACTTCCCACTTACTGAACAGGACTTGTTAAATGCTAAGACTATAACCCATGAACTCAGCACAAGCAGCTCAGCATGTGTGTGAATGTGTCTACACCTCGTTAGTGGATTCTCGTGGCTATAAACCAGCAGACAGATCTTAAACCTAAGTGGCATCTCGCTTTCCCCCACTACCAATGATAACAAAGTACAGAAGATGCATAGAATGCCAGCTGTTTCCACCCACACAGACTTCTGGTGTGGAAACACCTCTCCTCTTCTCCCCCCGGACTAATTCACCTTGTCTAGTTTTTGTTCAGCTTGCAGGCTGGGAAGTGCTCAAGGCCTCACCAAGAGGAAAATGTCAAACATCTCACTCGCAATCCAAAAATATCTATCAAACTGGCCATGGTGTTTTAACTACACAGCAACAAAAATGAAAAGTGTATGTTCAAAATGGGTTTGTCAGCATTTTTGATGTCATGATCCCTAGATACAATGAACCCACTTGCAAATGACCACCTTTCTAAAATATAAAGTAGTTAAATATATTTTTTGTGTGTAAATTTTATGTATATGTGGTAAATATTTAGTTTTTGTTAAGTTGGCATTAAGTTTACATCTGATTTCTTTTCCTATTTAAAAATAAATAAATGAAAATAAATCCTGTTTTTTATATGAAAATCTGATTTGCTTTCCTTTCCAGGCACAAACCACGACGCACACTTTTTGTTGGTTGCATTATTTTTATTTCAGTTGCATTTTGTTTGTTATCTCCCCCAGTTACATCTCATTGGTCCAGAATCCCATTCAACACAGCTGTACTTTAACATAGCTGTACATAACTTCAAATATGGACTGACTGGGTGTAAATTTGTTGCATTGTGGCACAATTTTTGCTTTCAGGAAAGAAAGAAACTTGATGCTGGAAACATCTGGACTGACAGTGATGTCTGCTAGTTACTTTACATGTCTGTCAGTTTGACCTTGACATGGGAGGGACTCTGGGGCTGGTTACCATGGTGATATAGCCCATAGGTGTCAGGGGGTGAAGTCTGACAGCGGGAGTGCATGTACGTGCGCAGAGAGGAGAATCTGGCCGCTGGAATGCAGGCTTGACAAGGCATAAGACCAAACAGTGCACCTGAACAAAGAGACGCTTGTTACCACCATGCTGCTAAAACAGGTAATGTAACCCACATCTCATTCCCATCTCTTTAATTCCATCTGTCTCTCTTTCTCTCTGCATCTTGCTGCATTTATCGCACCCTCCAGCTCATCTGTCTTTCACGCTTTCGTGCTCTCCCTTCTCTACCTCCCTCACACATTCTGTATCTCTCCATATGCATGTTCCCTCCCACTGCCCCCGCACCTGTCTCATCTTTGACTCTCTCACTTTCACTCCCATTCACAGCAATGTGGCCGCATCCATGTTTCTGAATGAATGCGGATGCTCTCGAACATGAATCAGGAAATCTTATGGTGTTACACAGGGACTATTAGTCCGATACTTCTTTTGTTTTCACTGTAGTGAAAAGCAGATCCTTGCTGTCATCTCCTTTCCCCTCATCTCTTCTACTCCACACTTGCTGACGCAGACTGGAGATCATTAGCAAGCAGGGGTTTAAAGAAGCAAACACTGATTAATTCGAAGCCAAGACCAGCATATTTATATGGGTGCGTGTGATCCACAGATACGGTCAATCCATAACAGAATGACAACAGGTCTATTTTTATATCATTGTCTACATATGCATTGGCAGGATCCCCAACAGAGAGTGGGCATGTTTTATGTGTGAGGGAGGCATTGGCAAACCTGTAGTCACATGAATGTGGAGAACGGTGGGACTGACAGTGTGGAGAAAAAAAAAAAGCTTTTCAAAAAAGGTAAGAGAGAAAGAGTACTATTGTCACTTTTTACCCTTGTACAAGGAACATAACACACACACACACACACACACACACACACATACACAGATTTTTCCTGCATGTCTCTGCTTGGCACCCTCATACTCACAGGAAAGCCACTTACGTAAGACAGACTGGGATATTCCTGCTCTGCTTTCAAGTTTTTGGCAAGGAGCCCATGCACACACACAGAGAGAGAAACCCTGAAGGGCTCCCGTACAGGGCACAGTTGCGGTGAAATGCACACAAACACACACACTCTGGGCAGCCACACATAGGCCAATGGGAAGACTAGAGAAAACGACAGCCTGTGTTTGTGTGTTTTGGGTACAGCGAGAGGTGGTGATGACTGGAATAAGGGGAAAAAAAGGACTGGGCCACCTCTACTGCATATTATGTCAGACCACATGGGTAAATGTTCAGCAGAATCCTCCAAATGTCCACAGAACTCAAGCTGGAGGCTGTTGAGCATCCTTATTGATCCACAAACATCATCTCTCTGCAGATTTGAGTACCTCTCTTTACTCAAGGGAAGAGACTGAGAGTAGATGAGGTTTTATCAAATGGGCAGAGAGATAGTAGAAAAAATTATGAGGGAATGGGAAAGAGTAGAAATAGGTCCAAGCTTACCAGAAACCTCCACAATATCTCCAGGCACAATGTCTCGAGCTTTAATCATCTGGACAGCCGTGCGGTTCATGCGGTAGACTTTGCCCATCTCTGGCTCGTATTCTTTCAGAGCCTCAATGGCATTCTCTGCATTTCGCTCCTGAGACCATATAAAACCACACAAAAGCATCAGCAAGGACACACATGCATCGCATCGGTAACAGCCCATATTTTATTTTGCTTCATTTATGCCACTGGTCTGATTAAGCTAAAACAACCGTAGCCTACTCTTACATGTTTCAAAAGAAATAAACGGTTATCTAGCTCTCTTGCTGTACATTTAAATGTTCTGTTATGAGCATGAAAATAATAGAAAGGCAAAAAATGGTAATAAAAATACAATAATTTATAATATTAAAATTAATATTAGAACATACAAATAATATTAATTAAAATATTTTATTATAATTCATTATATTAAAATTTATATTATAATCATCAAATATTTAAAAAATAAAAAAATAAAATAAAATACTGGCCATCGTATCAGTTGACAGCAACAGAATTATCAGCTCTTGGTATCAGACAAAATGTCAACAGATGCATCATTAATATCAATAGTTCTAATAAGGTGTAACAGGCATAACATACACAACTTTTCCTCTTTCCTCAATTTCCCAGAATACACTGTCATTGCAGTCCACTGCTATGTCCAGATATTGTAAATTACATGTCACATCCTTATGTACACACTAATAAACAAATCTGAACACCTGATAACCATTTGTCATGTTTAGGAACAGAAGACTGTAATATAGTAGTAGTAGTAGTAGTAATAGTATTTCTCATGCTAAACAGCAGGACATCAAGCAGACTCGCTGTTCTGACATTACTCATTGAGAAGATAGATTTGATCATTAGTTGAAATTCTTTGTGGTCCTTCAGTTTCTCAGCCCACACACACACCTGCCAGACTCCAATGACTGCGTTGGCCACCAGAATGAGCAGGATGACAATAGGCTCCACGAAAGCTGTGGTCGACTCCTCCCCCTCCTCAAACAGTGCCAACACCTAATGAACAAACACAACATATATTACTCCTACCTCGCATTCAAAGCTCAGTTCTGTTAAGGTTACTGAAATGAGAATTCACATATTCTTAAAAAAAAAAAAACATTTATAGACACACTACATTTCTACACCATTCTATTCACTTCCATAAGTTTGGGAAAAGAAATTAAGAAATTAATTGTAACTTTTATTTAGCAAGAACACATTGAATTGATCAAAAATGTCAGTAAAGATATTTATAATGTTACAAATTATTTAAATTTCTGAATACTGGAGTAATGGCTTCTGAAAAAATAGTTGCCATCACAGGAATAAATTACATTTTAAAATATATTCAAATAGAAAACAGTTTGTAACAATTTGTAAAATTGCAATAATATTTCACAACATTACTGTTTTTACTAGGGATGCACCGATACCGGTATCAGTATCGGGCCAGACACTGAGCTCCTGTACTCGTATTCATTAAAATACCCCGATACCAAACGCCGATACCACACAGCATGTGGTAAGCGCCATATTCAGACAAAGAAACACCGACAACAGAACAACAGACAGCAGAATGGAGTTAAGGATGTCTACTACGAAGTATATGTATGCAATGAATATAATGTTAAACATTCAGTATTAACGCCTGTATAGCTGATGTGCACGAGCTGATAAACAAAGCACGCTGAGTGGATTGAGCGCTGCGGCGCAGATGCGCGAGCTTGTCGAGTGAATATACCTTTCTCACAGACATCACTGGAAAGTTTGCAGTTCGGTCGGATATGTCAAAAACAAGTAAGTAAAACAATGCACAAGTTACTTAACGGTAGAGAGAGAGAGAGAGAGAGCGCACGCACTTGTTGTGATCTTTGATGTTCACTCACTCAGCACACTTGTCATGTTTAGGAACAGAAGACTGTTGTAGTAGTAGCAGTAGCAGTAGTGTAAAGTATCTAATGCTAAACAGTAGGACATCAAGCAGACTCGCTCTTCGTCATCGAGAAGATAGATTTGATCATTAGTTGAAATTCTTTGTGGTCCTTCAGTTTCTCAGCCCACACACACACCTGCCAGACTCCAATGACTGCGTTGGCCACCAGAATGAGCAGGATGACAATAGGCTCCACGAAAGCTGTGGTCGACTCCTCCCCCTCCTCAAACAGTGCCAACACCTAATGAACAAACACAACATATATTACTCCTACCTCGCATTCAAAGCTCAGTTCTGTTAAGGTTACTGAAATGAGAATTCACATATTCTTAAAAAAAAAAAAACATTTATAGACACACTACATTTCTACACCATTCTATTCACTTCCATAAGTTTGGGAAAAGAAATTAAGAAATTAATTGTAACTTTTATTTAGCAAGAACACATTGAATTGATCAAAAATGTCAGTAAAGATATTTATAATGTTACAAATTATTTAAATTTCTGAATACTGGAGTAATGGCTTCTGAAAAAATAGTTGCCATCACAGGAATAAATTACATTTTAAAATATATTCAAATAGAAAACAGTTTGTAACAATTTGTAAAATTGCAATAATATTTCACAACATTACTGTTTTTACTACCGATACCGCGATACCGGTATCAGTATCGGGCCAGACACTGAGCTCCTGTACTCGTATTCATTAAAATACCCCGATACCATACCACACAACCACACAGCATGTGGTAAGCGCCATATTCAGACAAAGAAACACCGACAACAGAACAACAGACAGCAGAATGGAGTTAAGGATGTCTACTACGAAGTATATGTATGCAATGAATATAATGTTAAACATTCAGTATTAACGCCTGTATAGCTGATGTGCACGAGCTGATAAACAAAGCACGCTGAGTGGATTGAGCGCTGCGGCGCAGATGCGCGAGCTTGTCGAGTGAATATACCTTTCTCACAGACATCACTGGAAAGTTTGCAGTTCGGTCGGATATGTCAAAAACAAGTAAGTAAAACAATGCACAAGTTACTTAACGGTAGAGAGAGAGAGAGAGAGAGCGCACGCACTTGTTGTGATCTTTGATGTTCACTCACTCAGCACACGCATCATTTGGATTAAAACTAAATCGTAAAAATAAGACCATTTATAGGGGCATTCACTATAAACATCATTTATTTTCAACCTTACGCATACACGACTTTCTGGCGAAAGTGAATCTAGCAGCCTGTGTGAAATGCGCTAGGCTGTACTTGTCCCTCTCATTCTGCATCAGTACAAATACGTGCACGCGTTGCGTGTGTTTTGCTTGCTTGAGCTTTTCTGCATTAATTTTAGTAGGAAAACACTTGCACCTCAAAGGGTGCATTAATGACACACAGGTTCATGTAGTGGAGGAATACAAGTATTTAGGAACGATTATTGATAATAGGCTGAAGTTTAATCAAAACACAGATGCAATCATTAAAAAGTCTGCACACACCCTTTGAATGATTATTTTGAGTGGATGCCCCTTGGGCGACGTTTAAGGTCAATTAGATGTTCCACAAACCGGTACAAATTTACTTTTGTGCCTGAAGCAATACGTTTATGTAATAAATCTAGTTGATTTAGATGATTTATTTAATGAATTAAATTTTTTTTAAATTTATTTGGTGTATTTTAAATATATGTATGTGTGTGTTAAGTGTTGTTTATGTGAAGTACCACGAAAGTCTGAATTAATTGCCCCAAGGGGATTAATAAAGCTCTAAACTAAACTAAATTATGAGTGGCTTTGGAATATAAATCACAGCATGTTTCAGATTAAAAACGCGACTTCTATTTCTGAAAAGGAGATTTATAACGAGTGGTTCCCTGCATTATTACAGCAAAGCGCGTGATTACAGTACTAAGCCGCTGCAATGGAGCAGCTCTAATGCTATTAAATTAAAGATGAAAAAATGAACAGTGAAAGTAACAAAACTTGTAAAATAAATTTTAATGGGCATAATTAAGTGCGCTATCGGTATCGGTACTCGGTATCGGCAAGTACCAAATATAAAAGTATCGGTATCGGGCGAGTATTGGAAAAAGTGGTATCGGTGCATCCCTAGTTTTTACTGTATTTCTGATCAAACAATGATCAGGTTTTCATAAAAGCGCTATATAAATAAAGGTGACTTGACTTGACTTGACAAATGCAGCCTTGGATAGCAGACTTCTTTCATAAACATAAACATCTTCTGTTGGCAGAGAAAGCAAAGTATTAATAAATGAATAATAAGTATTAATAATAAACAATAAGTATTATTAATAAGTATTACTAATAAACAACTGAAAAAGTCCTTTCTGTTGAGCCCCAAGGACCCGACAGTAGTACCACTGTTTAATAAACAGTACAATAAACATCAGGATCTGTCTGTTATGAAACAAGATACAGGATCATTCCACACCCGTAACAAATATTCCAGTGAAATCATGCCATCAGGTACATGCCCCGGGCATATATGTGGGAGTTTGGGGTGGGAGGCATTTTCAGAAAAACCCAAGTTACCTTAGAATCTAAAAAGCAGTTCAAGCAATATGCATGATAAGGTAAATATAGAGTGTAAATCCAGCTGGAATGGAATGTGACAGCTTAATTTTTGCAGATCGCAGAGACAGCCTTGAAGTTCATTACTTTCTGACAGTGTTCATCTGTTCAACTTCACATTAGAGATTGAAACTCCGGAAAAGTATGACATGAACTGACCTGAAAGATTTGTTCAATGGTACTAAAAGCCAACAATTTCTTTAAAAGGATAGTTAGAGGCAGCAAAAAAAAAAAAAACTGATATTGACTTTTTGGATGTAAAGTAAAAAATTAAGGGGAGGGATAGAGAGCGGAAGAGAGAGAAAAAAAAGAAGAGGGAGCGGTTAAGTTGTATGGCCGTGAATACACTAATAATTGTATGTACTTCATTTACTTTCTTTATAGACAAGTTATGGTGTCCTTCACAGACCTTTCATATTACGCATTCATACAGTGCTCTCGCTCCTTCCACCTAATTCTAAGCAACTTAGATACAGATCAGTCATAGAGCAGTCTGTCTTTAACCTTTCATTACAAACCGATGGGTCCCACGGAGAGGCTTCTTTTAATCCCTGAGTAACCGTGAAATAAGATGGGCAGGCAAATGAGGGGGTAGTGAATGCACAGACCAAAAAATTGAAAAGGCAGAATGAGACAGTGATGAAGAGCAAAAAGAAGTCCATAAAACGAAATGGGTGGAAAGATGACAATTACTAAACTATTGAGGAAAGCCACACCGATGAGTGGCTTAGAGTTTAGACCACAGAGCTCAGCTAAATCCTGTCAAGTCATGGCTCTGGGCTACTTGTCTGACAGAGGTCTATTCACTCATAAATATCAGTAGACTGAAGATCCTCTCTGCATTCCCTCGAGTTTTTACACTTCAAACAGAATACAAATGGACTGACTAAATAGGTTCCGCTTACAAACAATGGCAAACAAACCGCTATTAGTTTAAACATTTTTCTAAGACTTCAAAGCATCCTCTTTTGTGTTCCACAGAAGAAAGTCAGTTATTCAGGTTGTAAAATATATGGAGGGTGAGTATATGATGACAGAATTTACATTTTTGGGTGAACTATCCCTTTAAGATACAATGAATGCATTCCCCTACAATTACTAGACTTTGCATCAGTTTTTCTATTGTCTAATAGAAAATAGCTAAATGACATTATACTGCTGTACAGTCAGAGCCAGAGATCTTCTAAAGCCGTGACTGATAATGCAGAGAGCACTGTACACCAGTAATAGATGGACCAGATCTATGCAAGAAGGATGTTAGAAACAGCTGAAATGAAAAATTAAAGATGACAGAAAAGGAACGGTAAACTCATCAGGACAGAAGCAATACAGCTAGTTATCTGAAATGAACTCAAATGAAAATGGGCAACCATGGCTGCACATGTAGATTTGTTTGTTTCCATCCAATAGCTTTCATTCCCAGCACATGCTGTTCTAGAATGAGTCAGGCTATCGTACCCTTATAACACAACACTTCAAAAAAACAACAACTACATTTTTGTCTCTGTGGCTCCTCCGTCGCTTAGATACCAACGGCTTTGTTCTCATAACATGCAAAAAAGTCAGGAAAGCTGAATGCTAAAGATTTTAATATATTCAAAAAGGCACACAAATGAGATCCAAGACTGGGCCGATCTCCCCGGAGTATTTCCATTGCACCATAGCATTTGTCCAGCACACACAAGGCTTTCTGGGAGGTCTAATGCAATATTTTTATCAGTTTCAAGTGCTCCACAGGACTCCAGTGGTCGGAAGACTGGTGCTCGCCTCATAGAATTTAACCACGGTTTAGACAATAAACATAGGATGAAAGACACTATGACAGATGACATGAGCAGAGTTCCAAAAGCTGATATACCGCAGATGTCTGGAAAAAAAAGCATGTACACAAAGACCACAGCAGCTAACGTGTTATTGCAAAAAAAAAAAAAAAAAACACAAGCATAGGAGTGTCTGACTGTCCATTCCACTGAGGGGTGAGCAAGAGCGTGTGCGTGCTCATGTTATATTACTCTCACAGAACGGTGGGGGGCTAGAGTGGTTCAACCGTGGCCCCTGTTGCTACTTGAAGTCAGACGGAAAGTTCATAAAAAGGTAAATTCATAAAAGCCAATAAGAAAAACAGACTGTGCTAACCAGTTTAACAAGTCAGAGTTTTGGAAAGTCTGGAGTCCTGCTCAGCAGAACCACAGCAACACAATCATTACATCACAACATAAGGATAGTTTATCTACTCTAGTTTACTCTATTTTGAAGTCAGTTTAGAGTCAGCAGGGATGCAATAAATTGAACAAAAGTGACAAAGATATAATGTTTTAAATAAATTGAATTTTAAATTATATTAAAATAGAAGTTATTTAAAATTGTAATATTTCACAAAATTTTCACTGTATTTTTGATCAAATAAATGTAGCCTTAGTGAGCATAAGAGTTTCTTGCTAAAGCATTAAAAAAATATTACCGACCTCAAACTTTTAAAAGGTAGTGTATAATGTTATTATTATAGATATATTATTCTAAACATTTTTAGCTGTGGTTCTTTAACTCTCATGAACTTACACACTTCTCAGAGAAAATTTTAGCCAGCTGAGAGGGTGAGACAGCTGTTGGACTTTCGACACTATAAACTTGAGATCATTTGTGCCTCTGAATTCATCCTATTTGTGCAATGTCTCACACCGTTTTTTCTGCATCTTGCACCATGATCATTGCATTTTTAGGATGACGTATCAATTTAAAAATACTTTAACTTTGAAAAACATGTCATGATTGGTCTGTTCCATTCTGTTGTGCTCTATCTCCACAAAAGAGTGTCCTACTGTAAGCCCCATAACAAACATTTGGTTAACCAGACCCTAAATGAATCTTATTGTACAGTGCTTCCTTAACTGAGCAGCTGATGATGAAAGTATGTAGTTTTACACATGTCCAATTAAAAGACATATACCTGACATAGCACTATTGAGATAAACTACTGCACCGATCTCGCAGGTGATAAATGTGCAGTGCTGAAGATCTTTATTGCTTTCTTTCCAAGGCCTAACTGAAAAGAGTGCTGAATGCAGATCTAGTTTCTTTGGAGTTTTCTGACATGGTTTATGTACAAGTAAGCTTTGACTTTAAGTCACCTCATTCATATACCTGCGTTCTTTGATGAAAATAAGATCCACAGAGCACAAGACACCCAGGTAAATGACCTTAAACCACACAAATGAGTCCTGGTGAAGGTTTTACATATATCATTTGACTACAAAGACAGATTTTAAAAATGAAAGGGGGAGATTAAAAAATCCCTCTGTCACTTAATATCTCTTCCACGCTCTGATTATTGACAATCATTTAGTGAAATTCGAGGTTTAGCACACCAGAATGCAATCTGGATGTGATAGATGGTCTTGTGTACTGCATTACCTCACCTAATGCATGAACTATAACTGCTATAAAACTTATGGTGGGGTCTGGCTGTCATACTATTTATTTTGCTGGAAATAAAACACAATTTCTGAAGCACATGTAAACCAGAAAGAAAGTCACTTACGAAAGACACGCAGGCTGCCAGCAGCAGAATCCTCACAAGGAGGTCCTCAAACTGCTCCACCACCAAGTCCCACAATGATTTACCTGTGAGAGAGACGAATATGAGGATGACAAACAGACATTTTTAAATATTCAATGACAAGCGGGTCTTAGGTTAAGTTTGCACCAAGACATTGGGAAACCACACAGTTATAACGCAGTGCATGTGTGCATAGTCTTAAACTAAGTCTTAAAGTTTACCTCTCTAGTAAAATGACTGAGCCCGTGCTAACGGTGCAACCCATAAAGGGAGAGCAGTAACAACATGATGGAAAGATCAATATTTACCTTCTTCGGCTGGGAGCTCTGTCAGTCAAAACACGGCGAGGCAATCCGTAGTGGAATGAGAGGCAGGGTACGAGGGGAGAGAGAGAAAGAGAGGACAAAACAGAGGGTATTCTGTTAGAAAGGCTATATGGTAAAAACTTTGTTTAAACAGTTTCTTTTACATCTCACTGCATAGCCTGTGATGGTGCGAGATGGCTTCATTTTCTGCCTGAATGTTAAATACACAGAGACATGCAGTGCAATACTAAACCAGAAGACTACAGATTAGCGTAGGTAAATATTGATTTAGGATTAATGGACTTCTCTCTGCAGAATAGGTATGAGATTTTTTGCAGTATCTGAGCCATTCTCTACAAAGATTCCTACATTGCAAAAACAAACTGCAATAACTTCCCCGGCATCTAACACTCATTTAAAGTTAATCTTAAAAAACATAAAAAGGGTGATTGTAAAAAAGGGCGGGGCTGACTTTAACTATAGAATTTTAATATCATATATTTATTAATTACTGCCTGATAAAATGATCAGCTTATAGAGGTGCATCCTCACTTATCACAAAAAAAATATTTACACAATATTTATTTAAAAAAAAAAAAAAAATTCTAATCCATTCAAAGTAATGTGATGTGGGCTTCTCTGAGCTTCTACAGTAGAGTGATGTAATAAAATCCATAGGAGGTACATTCACAAATGACATGCTGAATGTAAACCACAACCATTGCACACAAAGAATATCATCTTGGGTGGAAAATGAACAGATGGACCACCAGCTGTGATGCGTTTGTTTAGTGAATGTGCTTCCTCTCTTAAAGAGGGAGAATTTCATGATGAAACAAACATTTCTGGCATTGTACAGGAATCATACAACATAGATGCGCTCTGTGGCCTACACTGCTGTTTAGTCAGTTCAAGAAGATTCTCAAGTCAAAGCGTGTGGGAGCTGAAGAGCATGTGGAGAGTGGGAGGGGGCGGAGCTTCACAGACCTCTCTCTCACACACACACGCATCATAATTACAACACAGATGCCCTCTTTGTTGAGGCTCTACCCTGAAATCTTGAGGATTCGCAGCCGATTAGCGTGCATGTCCGTCCAGGTGGGGAAATAGTGGCCTCATTAATAATCAGTTCATGCTGATGCTGCTATAGGTACAATCGCTTGATAAAAGGTACACCAACGTGTACAAGAAGAGTTTGTTTCTGGGAGACTGTTCATGAATGGACCTAAAGAAAGCACAATGGAAAATCCTTGAAACAGACCCAAAAGATAGCGAGAAAAAAATACAGGTTGTTCCTGAATTCCAACGAGCATGTGTTTGTGTGTACTTAGGTCAAGTTTAGCCTTGCATTGTGTGGATACTATCAGGAGTTTCCCTGCCATTCTGCTCAGAGTGAAAGCCTGCATCCATATCAGTTCTGATAACCAAGAAAAGCTTGATTGCACTTGCCTTTGTCTCTGACTTATGGAAAGGGGACTTCCCTGTCTCAGTAAGACGAATATCTTGACTCCTTTCATCTCTCATTCTTGATTAACACAATTTTTGTCTCACAATCATACATTCAGGGAAAAGCTGGGAAGGAGTCATGCAAGTCATGACGTCTTCACGGTTCACGACTGCAGATGGGAACAGGCTTGATGCACATGCAGTGGAAACCAAGATGAAATTGGCTTGAGGCAGAAGACCTGCAGCAGTGAAATTACACAGTGGTAAAGCATCAAGATTCCATTTCTCTTTCAAAAAACAAGAAACACATCCAAACAGTCACATATTTGGCCCATCAATGACTGAATTTCCAGCAACACTTGGAAGAAAATAGCATGGGGGAAAAACACAAGCAATCGTGACTGCATGTTTACTTAATTATGTTCAGTCTTACTCGGCTTTTTAATGTTTTTTTCGTAACTAAACAAGCATGAATGGAGGGAATGAGACTGTTCAGATGTACAAGTGAATGAGAGGGAGAGAGAAATGCATGAAAGAGTTCTGCTTTGAAGAACAGAGCAGATTCTTCTCTTTATCTTTCCTCAGGCTATGAGATCTGTCTGTACTAGAGAGCCTGAGAATCTGAAGTCGAGTGCTCCGTCTATGTGATATAAGTGCAATGATGTACTTCAAATGCTCCGATAACTGTGAGTCATTCTTTTCTCTTTAGGGGCCCTGTGCATACATTACAGGAAGCAAGAATATCCCACACAGTTTTCCTTTCTCCTCTGAATTATCAGCTACAGAAGCACTGGCAGACCTCTTCAAATCAGTTCAATACTTTGAATTATAGATAAACAAGTTCTAGTTTAAAGTGCCCCTATTATGCCATTTTTAAAGTTGCTAATATTGTTTTATGAGTCACCTAAAACAGGTTTACATGCATGCAAGGTCAAAAAACACGTTAGTTTTCTCAAAAAATAATTAAATTTTACATAATTTCTAAATGATTCATAAACGACATGTTCGAAGCGGTTCAAAGAATCAGTCTCTCTAAACCCCTCCTTTCCGTGAGCCCTCACTGCTGTGATTGGTCAGATGGCGCAGTCCTTTGTGATTGGTCCAGAGCCGTAGAGTGATTGGCTCTGGATTGGTCTACCGCGTACCAGCGCGTGTCGGAAACAAAACGCCCATTGCCATGACGGAATGACAGCCCTGGAGACTTGTCAATACATAGAAAAGATGGTATTGATTGTACCTTCCCAATTTGAGCCGGAGTCTGATGATGAAACGGTTGAAATGGCTGATCGACAAAAGACTGATTCGCAAGCACGACTTGAGCAGGACGTTTCTCAGTAGTAAGTGTCAAGTGTTAACAAGTTTGTGGTAATTATAAGATGTGATAAAACAAATTTTCTCTCACAGCGTCTTCTCGACATGATGTTAACCACACGGAAATGTAACTGTTTGTGGGCGGGCAAGTTGGCGACGTAGAACGTGGGCAGACATTATGCAAATGTGTTACTTCGTGACGTAGAGCTGTAACAGAATAAGATTCGAATTTCTGACGACTCGTTTAGGCTATTGCGAGCCGACTCCTTTTTTTTTTTTTGATAGACTATAACTTTATTTATCGTGCACTGTCGGCTTCACAACTTTGCAGATAGTTTATGTTCACATACAGCTACATGTCACACTGCATGAAAGTTAATATTCGAAAAGGCATAATAGGGGCACTTTAAAACTACACACTTCATAATATTCTAGGACAACATTTTTAATCTGCTTCTGAAAAAAAAAGGTTTAAAATCAAGTATTTCAGAATTTTCTTGTTTAGAATTTAGAATAATTTTTTTTATTCCATTTACAAACCTTCGCATTGCAGCTCAGAAATAACTACTAAAGAATTTTGAACTATAAACATTTGTTGATTCTTTGATTACAAAAAAAGGTTCAAAAGAACAGCATTTATTTGAAAAAAATATATATATTTTGCTACATAAATCTTTTTACTTTTTCTGTTTTCACTTTTGGTCAACTTAATGTATCCTTGCTGAATTAAAGTATTAATTTCTTTAAAAAAATTTATGACCCCAAACTTTTAAACAGCAGTGTATTTCAGAATTATATAGTTCAGATTGATTAATTCTAGTATAAAATTAAATATTTAAGAATGTTCTAGCTCATTCAAAACATTAACAAACAAACAAAATTAAACCGCAACCTAACCTCCTAAAATAACATCAAACAATCTCAGGGCTCGCAAAATTGCTAGCCCAACGTCCTGGGTCTATTGTATCCTCCAGTTGGGCTACCAAAATGTATCACTGCCCTGCCCAATGTGCTATTTTAAATAGTGATAATTATTACATTTCTGTACCTGAAAACTAATGTTAGTATTTTATTTGTAACTTTGTTTTGTTTTATTTATCTAGGCCATGCTTGAAATTTGTTTATTTGTCTTTATTTTATTACTGATGGTTCACTTGTCTTTAAAAATGTTTGACCTTTATTAGTTAGCCTATGTTACTAGTTCTTGCTGTGGTATCGAAGAAGTATTCTTTAAAGGGGTCATATGATGCTTTTCTAAAGATCATTATTTTGTGTATTTGGTGTAACAGAATATGTTGACATGCTTTAATGTTCAAAAAACACATTATTTTTCAAATACTGTACATTATTGTAGGTCCTTTATGCCCCGCCTCTCTCAAACGCTTAGTTTTCTACAAAGTCCCTCCTTCCGACAAGCGCAGTCTGCTCTGATTGGCCAGCAGACCCAGTGCATTGTGATTGGCCGAACACCGCAAGCACTCGTCGGAAATGTAACGCCCCTTACCATAATCGCGAGCTTCAGCTTTCAAAATAAAGGTAAAAACAGAGCCCGAAAGGGGAACAGAGTCGCGTGACAGACACAGTGATGAAGCTGGTATGTCTTTGCAGTACACAAGCCACAGTTAAGACTAGAGCTGAATGATTAATTGCATTTGCGATAATATCGCCATATGAAAATTTTCGATTTTCCAATTGCAGAGGCTGCGATTACACGGTCACGTGACACGCGAGAGTAAAGAGGCGTGTTCGACTTGAAGATCGATCGGTGTATGACATCAAAGTACGGCGAGCGAGAGAAAGCATAAGGAGAAGTCCGCGCTCTCTTATAGCTCTCGCAGTACTTTGATGACACACACCCATCGATCTAAGCAGCGCTGCTTCAAGTCGAGTGCGGGCCATCAGCAGAAAAAGAAAATAAATAAAATGGTAAACAGCCAAAGGACATAACTTAGAATGGGAGATGGATCGGTTTGTGAAAGCAAAGAGAAAAGCCATAGATGAAGTCGCACAAACCCAGGCAGGTGCTGGTCATTTAAAAGCAAAATGCAGAAAATATGACGAGGCATATCTTGCTCTCGGCTTCACTCACCGTGTCTATACCGGACGCTACAGCTGTGCGTCGCGCCACAACAGCTCTACACTGACGCGACAAAGCGACCGTTGCAAATCATTTTAACTTCGTGTCAGTACGTCATAAATAGAACAAGGCATCAGTTTAATGTCGCGCCGCATCCCGTGTACACAGCGTCACTGGTTATAATGGG